CTGAAAGTCTGCAGCGACGGCTGCGCAGGTTTCAGTCGTCGGCGCCGCCTTTAATAATAATAATAATAATTATTATTATTCATTTTTTAAAAAACTAAATTTAAAAGCTGAAATTCTTGAAAAACCAACCCAATGATTTTCAAATTTAACAAAACTTAAATCCGAAATTATTAAATTTGAAAATCATGAAATTATACAAGAACCAAATTAAACATGAATAGTCTCTGATACCACTTGTTGGAACTTTTAATGAAACTTAAATCTTATAAACTTGCCAAGATCTTCATGTCAAACCATCAAGAACTTTAAATTAACGCGGAACATACCTTTATCCATTGATTTCTAATTTGAATAATGAATCTCGATCTTTAAATCTTCAATTTGATTGCTCAAACCTCCTTCTTGATTCCTGATTGTGAGTTTATGGATTTTCTCTTGTATTCTTCTGTTGATAAGATATCACAAAAAATGAGAAAATCACATATAAATTGGGGACCATAACCCTTTATATAGTTTCATGTGTATTCGGCTCATCGTCAAATACAAGCCCTAATGGATCCGGTCTCTACACATATAGTCTGGTCCACACTTTATTTAGATACTCAAACCTAATTACTTAATTTTTTATTAGATCACTTTAATTTTGGGTTTAACTTTAAGATATCACTTATACACAATTAATTACATATGTCGGCCCACATGGCAAATTAAATAATTTTCCAACAATATGTTCTTCACTAATCCTTTATACATTTTAATTGACAACAAAAAGTCCGCAAAGTTTGAGTATAAATATTTATATTAGGTTTAGGTTTATTGCTCTATGTTATGCTAATCTACAAATATTTTGTTTATATCTAAACTTATTCAAAAATGCTGTTTGTACAGCCCGAGCTTCGCAGCTAGGGCTACAGCCTTCTCACAAAGCCGTGGGGCCCGTGATTATTTTAATTGTGGACCTCGCCCCTGAATGTGAGAGTACTGTCAACCGTGCTGTGAGCCGAGCTGTGTGTGTAGCATTGTTCAAACTTATTTTGGTAGTACTGGCTTTTAATAATTTATTACGACAATCAATCTTAGAACATGGCTTGGTTTGTACAACTTACCTAATTCTGAGTGAAAATGGGATTTGATAATTAACAAATAATAGTCCTCAAAGTTTGAGCTTAACTTTTTAAGTTAAGTGACGAACTTTTGGTCTTGAGGTAAGGTTTTTATACTGAAATATCTAAGGATAGCTAACGGGGTTGTTATGATTATATTTGTTTTTTGAATATAACAATGAGGTTGTTGAATGTTTTAAGTTATGTGAATTGTGCTCATTTGATGCTCTTGTTACTCACGCATGATCAGATCTACTCGTTTGAAATAATTTTGGGCAGCTCTTTGCATTCAATGGTCATAATTGTTTTTCTCCTTACGATCAAGATCAACCTTGACATGATCCAACACATAGTACCAGGGACGTAGCCAGGATTTTAATCTTTGGGGGCGAAAATTTTTTTTTTAACTAAGAGGATTGAAAACGACTATTTTGAGTACCAAAATAGGCAAGTTAGATTTACAATCAGTTTGTCGATACAAAAACAATATGTCCATCTATGTGTCTAACACTATACGAATTGAAAACATGAACGTTAGATGGATATCAAAAAGACAAAAAGTAAATTGTCTATTTAAGAACGATGGCCATCTGCTCTCTTTTTGATGAATCTTGAGATTCATCCACTAATATGCAAAATTTGGCATTACCTACAATAAAATGTTGTACCTTGGATGCTAGAAGAGATAATATCTATTTTTGAATCTCAGGAGAAGTATAAGTTGCATTTCTTGGAGCATTCTTGAACATAACTGCATCCACGGCTTCATTGTAATGTGCTGTGTGTTTAATCAATTGAATAAAGTTTCCTCTGTTAATGGATTCAGGTCTTTCATCACGACCTCCGAATGCTATCCCTTGAAGTGCACACCATTTTATTGCATCAATGGATACTTGAACTTTCAATCGATTACTTGCAACCTTTTTGGAGCTTTGATTCTCAGTAACTTTATCCACGTGTTGCAATGAATTCATCAAGTCACGACAACAATTCATAGCCCTTTTGTGCAATGTATTTGGGTAATTTCCCACATGATTTAGAAAAACACAATTCTTTCCATCATTAACTTTCTTCCAATTCCTGAAACCCTCAACTGTAAATGCATTTTAACCCGTTCGAGCACATGGTGGATTAAAAAGATAGCAAGGAAGACAATATGCCCCATTTTTTGTTGGCGAAAACTCCAGCCAATCTGGAAAGAGTTTGTACCAATAAGGGAGAAAACGTCTACCATTCTTATTCAAATACATTGATGTTCTAGGAGGAATTGGTTGATATGGCCCCAACTTGACATAAGCTCGTCTGATTGCATCCCTTTGCACTACCAAAAAATCCAACATTGATTTGCGTAGTCCAGGATCACGTTCCAGTGAAGATGAATCGAATTCCTCATTTTGAGGAGAAGAATCAACAACATATGGTTCTTGACCAGTGTTATATTCCGGAATAAGAGATTCAAGATTAGAGGTAGAAGCTTCCTTAAAAGTTCATTTCTTGAAATATGAATCAATCTTCTTCATGCTGTAAATATTCCCAGTAATTCAAATTAATTTCAACACAAAGGGATTTTCCTTACTAAGCAAAATAATTGCCGAGAATAATCCTTTATTAACCATATCCTTAATGTCTCGAATTCATGAAAATTCTCCCAAACATTGTGCCAAGCAAGGACTCAACTTCAAGAAATTCAACAAATCCCAAATCACAAAGCATTATTACGATTCAAATAAATCACATATTGACAAATTATCACAAATCACAGATTATCACTACATTACAAACAACCCTAAATCACAATACTAAATCTATAATCACCAATCAATATATACAAATCACAAATCACCAATCTATAAATCTTTAATTCCCCAATGAAAATGGCATCCAAAAATGAACTAAAAAAACAAAAACAAAAAGAAGAAGAAGAAGGGAGGCTTACATAGCTGCAGACAGTGATGGAAGCCTCGGCGTGATGGCTTCGATGACTAGACGGAACCAGCCAGCAGGTCACAACCCATAAGGCTAAATAATGAAGGCCAACGTCGCACAGTGGGAGATCCATAGGGATTGCCAAATTGGTTTCTCAACTGTCTGTGGACGTTGTATGCTTAATCCGTCACAAAACGAAGCAGGTCTATGACATTGGCCTAATTTAAAAAAAGAACAAAAGCATTTTTAGTTTATCTTTGTCTGTGGGCTATGTATGCTTAATCCAACTATTAGATCTTTTGTTTAGGTCTAAAATTTTTTGTATGATTGAATTTTAAAGTGTAAGTTATTAGGTCAATATTTATTAATGGAAAAACAATTTTCAAAATTTTGAGGGGTAAAACTGAAAAATACAATACAAATTAATTAGAAATAGTGAACCAGCGGACAATGTTGCCCCCTATCTCCGTCTCTGATAGTATCCTTATTCAGAAATTATAAATATGACAACTCTATTAGTTGTTACGATTCCTTACTCTTCCAAAATTTCTTTCTTTATTCTTTCATCTTATTCCGTTGTGTAAGAGATGCTAAGATGTTTTTGGTGATTCATCTTTGCTTCTTCTTAATAACCCTTTAAATCATATATTAGGTACGTATTTGTGGACTTTTCCTTCTTCTCATGTATATTCTTTATCTATTCGTCATTTATTGCTACCCGGAGAATTTTTATCTGAAAGTTCATATGAAATCAATTTTAGAGGATGCTTCCCAAAGTGATTCTCAAAACATATTCCTTAGTGCTGAACTACTAGCTCTAGATTTAAGGATGACGGAATGAATTCATCATCGTCATCTTCTGTAAATGTGTTATATTCTGATGTTGTACCTCGGATGGCAACCACACAAACTGGTATGTGTATAACTTCGCGAACAATTAGGCAAGGTGAGCGACTACCCCTTAGGGACGTACCTAACGAGCCTTTAAATGAACCCAAGGATATTAGTGAGAGTGAAGATGAGGATATTGTAGCCATGTCAACAAGCCGAGTCGAGCCAATAAAATTGTGTATTACTTAAAAAAAAAATTATGATATAAGCAAAAATAGAAATTTAAAAAATTCATCTCCAATGCAAGCTGTGTGAGATATCATTAAAGCTGACATGGAATAAAAATTAGACAATATCTAGAATTTCGATTAGGGGGTTGTGATTGGAGTACATGGGTAGGTTTTACAGGGCACTTCCCGGGCAAACACATCGGGTGGGGTCGGGTAAATTTTTTTTTTTTTTAACACATGTGGGGCCACCCCACATGTGAGAGGCCTGTAAGGCCTCGGTCCTGTACGTGGGGAATTACCCATCGATTAGAGGTCAGTTAGATGGAGTGACTAGACAAAAAAATATTTTCTTTCCAAGTTTATATTTTCAATCCAAATTTAGATTTAATTTTGTTTTATTTAAAGATAATGAATGGCATCTAGACATCAATACATAAAATACATTAAATATGGATTTTAAACTTGATTTTCAATTTTATTAGAATTTATGCCATATGCATAATAATTCATAAAAAAAATAATGCTATGTAGCTCCACTGGGGGTTGCCCTAGTTTAGATGGCGCTACATGATAGATTAATGATGTATTTGATTGCGAGCACGTAATTTTTATGAAAAGAAAATAAATTGTAGACAATTCATATAACTTATTTGTATGAAAATTATTAATTAAACGTGTTTGATTAATTATGTTTCAATTTAGAATATAATACTAGTTCATTTTTCATTAGTGGATAAATGAGAGATATGCTAGATGATAGAGAGAGAATGGGAGACAATTACCTCTAAAATAAAAGCTACATATTTCTAAAGAAAATTTTTTCCTTATTTTTGAAGAAAAATATGTTCTATGACCAAATTTTGGAAAATATTTTCCATAGAAAAAAGTATCAGTCAAATACCACAAAAATAGGAATTTGGATGAAAAAATAACATTTTTCATGAAAATTAAAGCCAATCAAACACACTTTAAATAAAAAATGAAATGAAATGAGTCTTATAACTAAAGTCACATCAATGCCACCTAAACTAGAATTGCAACCTCAATGAAAGTAAATACCATTACTCTTTGTAAACTACGTACGTTAGATTAATATTTTTATTTTTATTCCATTTAAAATTATTCCTTAACTTCGATCTTTCACCTTTGAGAAAGTTGTGGTTTCCTACTTGCGACCCCATGCTTTTACACGTGTATTTCGGCTTTTGGCCTTTAGCTCTAGCTGTCCGAAGGTGACACGTAGCCCTGTCCAGATGAGCAGACCGACAATTTCACCTCTCCACACCAACATAGACGAGAAAGCCACTCACGAAGTGTACCAGCGCGTGTATATCTAATTGATTGTTCGAGCTGTCTCTTTCCCCAAAAAATTTAAATTTTCGTGGCATTTTTGTATTTAAAGCAAAACGTCAAGGGTACTTCCGCTGAAGTCTCACATGCATAGGGTTAATCTCAATAATGGTCACAGAACCTTTTACTTTGTGTCATCTTGACCACTAAACTTTAATTCCTTTTATTAATCACTATACTTTACAAAATATTATGAATACAAATTCAGCCCTTGGTTTATAAATATTATTTTAAAATTCTTTATTTTACGTACTCAATTTCAATTACACATTCACACAATTTTATCAAAAACATATTTTTCGAAACTCATTTTCAACCAAACATTCTCCAATAAAATAATTTTACACGTAAATCAAAATTTTTTATATTATTTTTTAACAACACATTTAGAAAAAAAAAACCATTTTAAAATATACTTTTCCCCAAAATGGGGTTTAAACTTTAAATAAGGACAAAATATCTTGCACATAAATCCAAAATTCTTCTCTTTTTTTAATCACACAATCTTCAAATATTTACAATTTAAAACTTTTAATTTTTTGCCAAATAATTCAAACACTATTAGAATTTTCAGTTAAATCATTGAATTAGTGCACAAATGAGTAGCTGTAGAATTTTCAGTTTAAAAATGGACGCTGAACTGGTTGAAATGAGATATTTCATAAAGTTTAGTGATAAATTTGAAATTAATTGAAGTTTAGTGGCCACAGTGATATTAAGATAGAAGTTTGGTGGCCATTAGTGAAATTAACCGCATATATAGTGAAAAATTGTACCTCTGTCTTCCGGTCGCATTTTCTGGTTTCAGGCAAGCAAGAAGATAAAGGTGTGTACTTTCTCTCCAGCTTTAGCTTTGAATCCGTAAATGTAGGGTTTGTTCAAATTGACGATTTTTGTCCTGATCCGTTAACTTAAACACTTTAAAGTTTCGTTCATCAAAGCTGAATTTAAGAATTTATGTTTTGCTCATTTTCATAAAATAATTTTGTACTTGGTGAGTTAAGATGGTAAATTAACTGCAAGTTTACATTTGAGTTGTGATTTCATGTTTTGATTCGTCCGTGGTTGATACGCATTGTTTGAATTTTGAATGTATGTGGCTAGGGCTTTATGGTCAACTTTGGATAAAATTATCCCGCTTGTGTTTTTTTGTTCTTTTTAGTAGTAGTGCTGCCAATTTTTGAAGAAAACACACGATTTTATTTAATGAAGTTAATTTTTTTGTAGTTTATGTTTCTTTCTAGTTGTATTGTTTGATGACATTTCGGAAAGCTCGTTAAAATTCTGCAATTAGCTCTGGAAATTTGTATAAAATGGTTTATCTTCAAAGATCTACAGATTACAGATTATTAAAAAGCATTTTCCACTGTATGTGGCGCACAGTGGAATGCGCAAAACTCAACCTGCTTTTAGGGTTCTCTTGGCAAATATTTTCAAGGTTGAAAATAAAACATGTTATGTTTTAGGGTTTCTTATATTTATGCAAGCAAAAGGAGTGTGCCAATTGACTTGATTTTCTTTTGGGTAAGTTACTTGATAATAATGTTTATGTATATTGCTTTTTATATTCTGCAGTATGGAGAGTATTCAGGGCTTTTGGCAGCTGGGAGATGAGCTTCGAGGACATTCAAAAAATTCTGAGGATCAAAAATGGCTGGTGGCTGCTAATAAATTGGCAGAGCAAACTAGGTCAAAGGGCGAGAGAAGGATCAACCTAGATCTCTCAAAGGGTTATGCTGAAATAAGGCCTAGGGATAATTATGGGTTTCAGGGAGAAAACAAATTTGACAGTTTCAATTTCAACATGTTAAATCTGGAGACCAAAATGAATGAGAATGTGACCAAAAGTTCTCTGAGGAATATTTATGATACAAATGCTGCATATCAGAATCCTGTTGCCAACTTTATGGGAAATATTTCTGGAAGCAAATATAACAATAGCAACCTCAGTAAGGAGCCTAACAAAAGCTACAATAACGAGGAAGGCACTTATGCGAGCAATGCAGTTGACAAAAGGTTCAAGACCTTGCCTGCTGCAGAGACACTTCCCAGGAACGAGGTTCTTGGTGGATATATTTTTGTTTGCAACAATGACACGATGCAAGAAGATCTAAAGAGACAACTGTTTGGTAACTAAAATGATTTCTCTCTTGCAGCATTGATCATTGCCTGAACTTAAGATCTATCTAGTGAAACCTTTGGCCTTGCCATTGTGTAATTTGAAGCTATAGGTCAGGAGACCTGTATGCATTTGTTGGAAATGGAATTATCTTGATCTGTGTTTAATCAGTAGCATGGCTTTGGGTAGTGTGGGGCTTGCACGATTGACATTTGTGGCGTAGTTAAGATTAAACTGATTAGTCTTTATGCAAGATTGCTCTGCGGAAGTAGTTTGAGAGATGTTCACTCTGACTAAGAATGTTTGGTGTCACCATTAATTAATTGTTCTCACTTCAATAATGACAAAAATGATTTTTTTCTTCCCTTCTAGTGCATTTGATAGGCATTAATGAGCTTAATAGATAACAATACTCTAATTCAATTTTATGATAGCCCGTCCTTTTAAGATGTTTGACATAATCTTGACGATTTTTGTATGCTGTAGAATTTTATTTTCATTCTTACATGGATCTAAAGCCACAGATGTTGCCATGTGGTGATTCTAATTGCACATTCTTTATTACACTGGATGTGCTGTTGATATTTACTCTCATCCTAGTGCATTTTTTTGCAGGTTTACCACCGAGATATAGAGACTCTGTGAGGACAATAACACCAGGCTTACCACTGTTCCTCTACAACTACACCACCCACCAGCTGCATGGTATTTTCGAGGTACAGTGCAATGTTTTGTTATTTTTTTCTGGATTTACGTCTATGGCACCAGAGACCACAGTGTCTGAACAGGCAAGACGTGATAAATACCAATTAATATTTTACTAAAGTGACATCCTGATCCCAAACCTTGATGTTGTAATTATGTGTTTTAATGGAGAACTTATTAACTCTTCCATTCAGCATGATAACCGCAGTTGTTGTTTTGCATACTAAATTTGTTTGGCATCTTTAATGAATGGCATTTAAATTGTTCCTCAAACTAACTATATAGGCAGCAAGTTTTGGGGGTTCTAACATTGATCCTACTGCTTGGGAAGATAAAAAGTGTAAAGGCGAGTCAAGGTTCCCTGCTCAGGTAACATGTTGCATACCTATCCACTTCAGCTTTATATGCCTTTCTATTTTTGTAAACAAAGTATTTATTTTGTTGCCATGTTGTTCTCGACTAGGTAAGGATTCAAGTTAGGAAACTCTGCAAGGCTTTGGAAGAAGATGCTTTTAGGCCGGTCCTGCATCATTATGATGGCCCTAAGTTTCGACTTGAGCTGTCTGTGCCTGAGGTAAGATAATAAGGTCCACTATTATGAATAAGCTTTCTTTGATGTCTTTATTCTGACACGGAATAACATTCTAATATCATTTGGCATTGTAGACTTTGGACTTGCTAGATCTCTGTGAACAAGCTGGTGTTTAGTCTTGCGAGGTTATTGGCTGCTCAACATGAACAAATTGTATTGTTGTATGTGAATGGAGTAGGGTCCCTGGTGCATTGAGACGTTGTTTCCACAGATTTTCCATATAGCGCAAGCTTGTGAGTCAAATCTAGTTGTGCACTATACTTGATCGTATTGGCTTGTTTGTTGCCGAATAAATTTAAGTGTTATATGAAGATAGCTTATTTGCTGATGTAATCGTTATAGTCTTGTAAGAAAACAGTGGCCGGGAATTGGTCGAATCTTTGTCGACTTAAAACGTAATTGTGATGTTGGAATTGTTCTTTTGTCATAGCAAGGAATTTTATGAGAAATATGTTGTTAGGGGAAATTGAACCTTTGTTTAGTAATCTATAAAAGTCTGTTCTCTTTATCATTTTCAAACTGTTTTCTATTTTCGATTTTTCAAAGCAGTGAAAACGCATTTTCTTTCCTATTTTCGAAAACACGTTTTTGAAAACATATTAAAAATTTACAAAGAAAATCTAAAATGACAAATTTGTCGTTTTTGATGTCTTCAGTTATAATCAAGTCAAAATTTTCAAAACGCGTTTTGAGTGTTTCTAAAACAATTTTTCAAAATGTAAGAAAGAATACATTTTGAACAATTTCAAAGTGAATACTAAAAGCACAAAACATAAAATGAATTCAAAATTTAAAACACAAAACTGAAATTCAAAGAGAACAACTCATCAATCTTTTAAAAAGTGCAATTTCTAATAATCGAAATGGTCATGTGATCCTTATGGTAATAGATTTTTGGACGTCGGTTCAATTGAGAAGTAAAATTTTACTTTATAAAGTCAGACACGCGAGGAATATAAAGATTCAACAGACGGATTGATGGGCAACATTTTAGAAGTTGGGGGATTAACTTGTTCAATTATGCTTCTTGTACATCAATGGTTGACATCAACTTTGACACTCAGCCTACATGTAGAAATTTTGGTCATTGATTAAGAAAGTGTTGTTGAAATCAACGTATAAAAATTTATCAATTCATGTGATGTCAAAGAAGCTGTCAAACTTGATATTAATTCAGCATGATTGTTAACTTGTTACGATGACAATAGTTTGATGTAGCTATTGGAATAATTTTCCCAATTTGTTTCTAGTAGCAACAATTAATTAATTTGGATTTGAATAAGGACACAAGCTGCCTGCGTGGAGAATCCACAAACACAACACCAACGGCAGAAAACGAAAATCACTCACTAAAATGGAAATGCGAACGTCTATTGTTACAGCTTGGTGCACGATAAAAATCGCACAAACTATTCCTCACCGCTGGGGTCTGAAAGTGGGGCCCGTTCATTGCTCAATTTCGTGGTTGTGACATACCATGCACGTCAAAGGCCAATAATTTAGCGTCTGTTCTCTTTATCATTTTTAAACCGTTTTCGATTTTCTAAAACAGTGAAAATGAGTTCTCTTTTCCATTTTCGAAAAGTCGTTTTTGAAAATAAGTTAAAAATTTACAAAGAAAACTCAAAACGACAAATTTGTTGTTTTGGGTGTTTTCAGTTATAATCAAGTCAACATTTTCAAAACACGTTTTGAGTGTTTTCAAAACAATTTTTTCAAAATGCCAAAAAGAACACATTTTCAACAATCTCTAAATGAACACTCAAAACATAAAATCCAAAATAAATTCAAAATTCAAAACACAAAACTCAAACACAAAGAGAACAACTCTAGCCTTTATTTTGGAACAATTTCGTATTTGGTCACTGAACTTTCAATTGGATCAACTAATTATAATATTTTGCAATCGAGTAATGATATTTATAGTCGGCGACTATAGTAGTTATTCTATGTGACATCTTGTTATTTGGGGCAATGGAATTACAAAAAATTAATGCATCAAATAATAAATTGACACATAAGATTTTTACTGCAATCGCTAATTATATATATTATTACTCAAAGTCCTAATCTTTCATTAGCTAAACATGTCATTTAGTTATATTGTGGTTTCATAATCTTAAAATTGAGGACAAATAGATCCTTTGTATGCTACATTGTGATGCCCCTGGTCAATTTAGTTTAAAATTAGATTTTTAGTAGTTTTTGATAAAAAAAAAATTTTTTTTATTGAAAAATTGATAATAATTGTGGATCTCAAAAAGTATGTGCGCAAACGAGCCCTTTTTTTTTTTTTAACCGAATTCATTTTTTAAAAAACTCATTTTCAACCAAATATTTTTTAATAAAATAATATTTTTTCATCACATCAATAATTTTTCCTTCTTTTTCAACCACATATTCTCCATCACATCTCTTCAAAAAAAATATATTCTCTCATTTTAATATGTACCAAACACACTCTATATATATTTATCATGAGATTTATTAATCATACATTTTTTAATAAAATAATATTATACGTAAATAAAAAAAAAAAAATTCTCTTTTTTAACCACACATTATCACTATTATAAAATGCTTTGCCCCCAAAATGAAACTCAAACAAGGGCTGAGTTTCATGAAAAAAATGAGTTATATAAAATTAGGGTCAAATCGATACGAATTTTCAAACAAGTTATTTTTATTTTTTTTATCAGCAACATGATTAAGTGTTGACATATTTCATTGAAAACTAATACGTCAAATTGCTTTAACGTTTCATAATCGTCTTACGTATTACATATGTTGTAGTTTGTTATTTAATAAACGAGACAATAAAAAATTACTATATTGTTGCATCAAATAATATATTGTTATATGTATGTCACGTAAGACGACCATTGGCATACCTCGGTCTGCATAGCATTTCTAGTGGCCAATATTTAAATTAAATTGAAGTTGAATGATTTAATTAGGATAATTAGCATATAACACCCTTACCTTTCATTATTATTGTAGAAAATGTCCTTATCTTTTATTTTTTAACATTTTCACCCTTATTTCCATCTTTCATTGTACAAAATGTCATTTTCCATTCATTTTCTCAATTAAAAGATGTGAAATGACAAATATACCATTCTATTTAAAAAAAAAAAGAACTAATTGCAAATATAGTCTCAGATTTTTTTTAAAATGTGCAAAAGAGCCTCAAATAAATTATTAAAAAAGTAATTAGTACATAATATCCATATCTTTCATTATTTATTGTAGTAACGTCTATACCTTTCATTTTTTGGCATTTTCAATCCTAATTATACCTTTAATTGTGCAAACTATAATTTCTATTAATTTTCATCCAATTTCATAAAAGCCGTAAAATGATGAATATATCCTCCTATTAAAAAAAAAAAGAAAAATATTATTTTTATTTTTATTTTTTAATAATTTATTTGGGACTCATTTGCACTTCTTTTAAAAAACATTTAATTTATAATTTTTTAATAATTTATTTGGAACTCGTTTACTTTTTTTTTTTTAAAAAAAAAATTGGAANTTTTTTTTTTTTAAAAAAAAAATTGGAATTATGGTTACAATTAGTTATTTATTTATTTATTTATTTTTTATATAAATAAGATGGTATATTTGTTATTTCATAACTTTTTATTAAGAGATTGGACGAAAGTGAATAGAAATGATAATTTGTGCAATAAAAAGTGTAATTAAGGGTAAAAATGCCAAAAGAACGAAAAGAATGGACATTATGTGTTAAATATCCGTTTATTAATTTATTTGAAACTCGTTTGCTATTTTTTTTTAAAAAAAATTGGACTATAATTACAATTAATTTTTTTATTTTTATTTTATTTAAATAACAGTGTATATTCGTTATTAACAGATTATAACTGAAAAAATGAATGAAAATGATCTTTTACGCAATGAAAAGTGGAAACAAATGTGAAAACACTAGAAAATGAAAGGTAACGTGGTTACACGCTTGTTACCTATTTACCCCTTCTTTCACACACATTATTTCAAAATACATTATTTCACATCAATAATTTTTTCTTATTTTTTAACAACATATTTCTCGTCATATCACTATTTAAAATACGTTATTTCCACAATAATGTCAATCAAACATACATTTAGCCTCTATTTGGCATTCATTCTCATTTTTTCCTCTCTTTATTTCAACTACACAATCTCTCAATAAAATAATATTACACACAAATTTAAAACTTTTCATAACTTTTCACCACATATTCTCCTATTAATCACTATTCCAAAAATTTCATTCTCTAAAAAACGGGTGTCAAAACACCTACTTAATTCGAATAAATTAAAGTCGGATGACATAATCGAGTATAACGCCTTTATTTTTAACGTCTCACTGATAGCAAGCTCCGCCTCTCCACGTGTCTCCCTCGCACCGCGTCTCTTTCTCTCTTCCTCTCTGCCTATAGTTGCCGCCATTCTACGCAGAAGCCGCACAAGCGGCAAACGAACGGAGGAACTGAAAATGCCTGGACTAACTGCACCTTCCGATTATTCGCAAGAGCCCCCTCGCCACCCTGCCCTTCTGATTAATTGCAAGGTTCGGAAACAGGATTCGTCTCCGAGTCTCTCTCTCTCTCTCTACGCGTATTCCTAGATGCGTTGTTGATTGTGAACACATGCAGAAATTCGCTTTTAATAATTGATGGTTTAATGGTATAGTATAGTGACGAATTTTAAGCTTCAAGTCGGATTTTGCGTGAATTTCTAAAAAAATTCCAATTATTCAACCGCTAAAAAGAGAGAATTGGAGTTTCTCGAATCATATGATGCGTTTGATTGGCAATATTTTCCACCTAAATTCTTATTTATGTATTGTTTAATTAACAAGTTTTTCCAAGAAAAATATTTTTCCTTTCTCCAAAGTGATGTGGTTTTCTCTATCTTTCTCGCTCTCATCTATCCCCATTCTCTTCTCTACCCACAGATAAAAAATGAAAAAGTATAATACTTTTTAGGTTGAAAATTAAATCAATCAAACACATAATTAATAATTTTCATGCAAATAAGTCTAGGCGATTGAATTGCCTATAATTTATTTTTCTTTCCATTTAAATTCTATACCTGCAATCAAACGCAC